TAAAGTAATAGACTTGAGGGAAGTCCATATGTATCTGTTAGGAGTTCTGGTGGTGTAGTGCCTAAGACATTTGACTGCTAACCAGAATGCTGGCGGTTCAAAGCCACCAGCCACTCCTTGGAAGGAAGATTGGTCAATCTACTTCCTTAGTGATACTGGCTCGGAAACCCAAGGAGGGGTTGCTATGAGTCGGATCTGACTTGACGGCAGTGAGTTTGGTTTTTTGGTTTACCAAAAGCAATTGAAATATAATACCGAGGAATTTAAGTATAATTCAAAATAATTTATTAGATGTTCTGGTATAATTTGGAAACAAATTTCTGGCAGAGAAATACTCTTTGCAGAGAAATAACCTTTCCTAATCTCTGATTCCTAATTATTTGGGTAAAAGATGTGTCTCTCTTTATTGATCACATTTCTAAAAATCAGTCTCTTTCTTTATATTCCTTTTTACTTTATAATAGTGGGTGGTAGTAACAACACTTCAGATTTCTCTTTCCCATAAATTGATCTTAACAGAAAGTGTGTTTTGCTGAAGATGTTTAAATTTGCTCCTAGCATTATTAGTTCACATTATAAAATAACTCATAGTGTGAAGATTGACCTAGGAAGAGCTAGAGCTTGTTTGCTTGGCTCTCCACTCCCACACGTCTCTCAGTTTCTTTTCCATTAAAAAAAAAAAAAAAAAAAAGCAGACACCTTTGTTTCATATTTGTGTGTTTTTAAGGTGAGAATGTAACTTTTGATTTACAGATGTCTTTGCTACTAAGTCTGAGTGGTGTGCAGAGACTGGAGAAACTTTGAGATCTTTTTCCATTCCAGCTTTCGCTAGTGAAGTAGATAAACAGAGGAAGACAAGAATATCAACAAAGGACTTTCTCTGAAACTATTTAGCTCTGGCCAGTATGTGAAATTTAAATTCTCACATGTGCAGTTTAATTCAGCTCAATAATAGAATGGTGATTCTATTTCGAGAATCTTCTTTTAAAAGTAGTTACACATATGAAGTACGTGAGTTTTGTTTTTAACAAATTTTGGATATACTCTTCTTACAAAAAATAGTCTGTCCTGTAATGTAATTCTTCTATTTGTAGTGACATTTTTCAAGATGAATTGTCTGTCTTAAATAGGCTGTGTGTGTGTGTGTGTATAAGAAAATGGTTGTACATCCTACTTTGGTGAGTAGTGATTAGTGTCTTAAAAGCTTGTGAGCAGACATCCAAGGTGCAACTTTGGTCCCTCCTGCTCCAGAGCAAAGAAGAGTAAAGAAAATAAAAATGCAAGGAGATAATTAGTCCAATGGACTAATGGACCATGTAAACCCCAGCTTCCACGGCCATGAGCCCATAAGAACTAGATGGGGCCTGCTTATAGATGACCACTTTGAAAGGGATCACAATAGGAGTCCATGGATAGAATGGGAGAAAATGTGAAACAAAACTCAAAATAATAGAAGGGCCAAGTGTCCTGGTCTGATAGAGACTGCTGGAAACCCCAAGACTACAGCCTGTAGACACCTTTCAAAGCCTGGAACTGAACGCCTACTGTGGTTCAAGTTTCAGCCAAATGATAGATGTTGTTGTTTGCCGTTGAGTCGGACGCGACTCATAGTGACCCCTTCTTGGGTTTCCGAGGCAGTATCACTACGGAAGTAGATTGCCCCATCTTCCTTCCAAGGAGTGGCTGGTGAATTTGAACCGCTAGCCTTCTGGTTAGCAGTCAAGTGCCGTAGCCACTATGCTACCAGAGCTCCCAAATGATAGATGTATAATGTGAATAATAACTCCAAGCAAGTAAGGTACACAGTCCTTAGAACAGTGACCCATAGGAGATCAAAAGGGCAGCATTTGCCCATGGATAAAGCTGAGAAGGCAGGAAGGAATAGGAAAGGACAAAGGGAAATGGTGAACAAGGGAGGAAATGGAAAGAATGCTGTTACATTGTAGGGTTTGCAATGAATGTCACCAAACAAAATGTGTATGAATTGTTGAATGGAAAACCAATTTTCTGTGTAAACATTCACCCAAATCATAATAAAAAGTTAATATTTATTTATTTAAAAAGAACATGGTTGTATTTGAACATTTCCAATGTAGTGAAGCATTTGAAATAGATGGTAATCAGCTATTTCAGACTGAAAGTTGTAAACACCAATTTTTTAAATAAATATAATCTTATTGCTTTGTTTTCTTTAAAAATAATTAATTTTCTTTTCTTTTTTCTTTTTATTGTGATTTGGGTGAAAATTTACAGAGCAAATACACTTTACATACAGTAGTTCACATACACTTTGTCTCATGACACTGACCACAATTTACCACAATGCAACATCTCCCCTCCTACTTCTTCCCAATAGTTACCTCTTCTCTGTGGCTATCCCTCCATGCACTCCTGCCCCCTGAGCTGTCTCCCTGTGCATAAGCAGCCCTTCTTTCTCACATGCTTGTTCTCTCCAAGGAGTGTATCTACCTGAGGTAAATGTTCAACTCATATGCCTGTATTTTGTTTGGCTGGAAGCCACAGGTGTGCGTTCAATTCCAGACCTGAAAAGCAGCTAGGGGCCATAGTCTCAGTGGTTCCACCAGGCTCTAAAGGATCAGCAAACCTGGTGGCCCCCCTTTTTTTTCCAAATGATTTTGAGTTTTGTTCCACATTGTTCTCCCTGTCTATCCAGGATCTCTTACATAGATCCTTTTCCAAGTGGTTGATAGTAGTAGCCGGCACCATCTAGTTCTTCTGGTCTCATAGTGGTATAGGCTGCAGATCGAATGGTGTACCAGTCGCTAGGACTAATTGTTTCCATGAATTTTTGGTTTTCTTCATTATTCTTGGCTTTGGACGAGGAGAGACCCATCGGTGCATCTAAATGGCAGCTTGCAAGCTTTTAAGATCCCAGTCGCTACTCACCACAGTAGGAGGTGAAACAATGTTTTGTGTAGTATGTTATGTCAATTGAGCTTGATGTGCTCTGTGACTATGGTCCCGAGCCCACAGGTTCAACTACTCGGTCCCTCTGGGTACCTGGCTGTGACCAAGCAGTGACTACAACCTTGCCCCTTGTCAGCTCCACTATACACCTGGGAATTCAGAAAAATAATTAATTTTCTTGAGAAGATAATATATAATTATATGGTTCGTACTCCAAAAAGTATATCCTTCCAGAGATAGTTTAAATGGAAGCAAACAAATATTACATATATGTGTTCTTTTATCTCCATTTTTCATAAAACCTGTTTTAACTGTAGAGCCTATATTTATGTTTACTAAGTAAATATAAATTATTTCATATCTTGTTTATTTTCTATTTAATATATCATGAAGATCTTTCCATAGTGGTTGCAGAAAGGACACAGGGGCAGTATCCTCTGACCTCCTCTAACATAATGAAGGGGAGACAGAATCAAGAACAACATCAACAGCCCAAGGCTGATTCCTCTAGGTCAGACATGCTGCCATCCTCAAACCTTTTTACCAATTCTTTTACCAACCGTTGCTTCCACAGCCCTCTGCTTCTCTGCTGAGTTCGATTATTCATTTGCAATGGCCTCACACAACTCACAGATAATACTCACGATCATAGGATTTATTAGGGAAGTAATAGTTTACAGTTCAGGTACAGGAACGCTCAGGATACGATTCTTCAATCAGGACAGCTTCTCCTCGGTTGTGCCTGTAGATTTAACTCTCTTTGGCCTTTGGCCTCTCAGCCTAGTGTCTGCCCTGCTCAGGCAAGGGTCACAAAGCACTTTCAGCTCTGCTGACAGGTGCACCCCACTCTGCCAGCAAGCCTCCTGCCCAAAGGCACTTGGCTTTCTTGTTCCGTGGGTCAGCAGGCCCACTCTGTCTCGTGCTGATCTGTTGATTCTGTTGCCGCTACTTCTGCCGTCTCTGTGCCATCATCAGTATAGGGATCTAGGACCCAAGGATGCTCCCTTCCCAGCTTTTCCTTCTTGCTGGTAGGAGATCTCCCTTTTGCACCTTTGGGATGACTCATTTTAAGCCTAGTGGAATGACAAAACTGACTGGTCTGCACATTGGGACTCCATACACTTTATTTACGGAGTCCCACCCCCGCAAGGGTGCCATGTATTGTATTTACATTACTAACAAGCTGTCCAGTCCTCTTGTTAGGCCACAAAGCACCTCACATTTACATAGTTCCACCCATTCATATGGGGGGAGTCACAAAGACCATGGCTAGAAGAGCCTTCAAAATAATTTACTGCACCACAGTGGTATAGTATTGCTATACCATAATTTAACCAATTCCCTTTGATGTGTCCTTTATTTCCAGTGTTAGCTGTTACAAATGAGGTTACAAATGATTAACACTCCACTTGTGTGCTGGTGTACCTGTGGGATAAGTTCCTAAAAGGGGAGTTGCAGAATCAGAGGCTTATATGTATTTGTAATTTTGATAGGTATTGGTGGTTTGCTTGAAATAGAGCAGTGGTTTTCAACCAGGGGATATTTGACTATATCTGGAGGCATTTTTTGGTTGTCACACTGGTGGGATGGTATTACTGACACCTAGTGGGTGAAGGCTAGGAATACTGCTAACATCCGATAATGCTCAGAACAACCCCCTACCCCCAAAACCAAGACTTATGCAGCTTTTATTATAGTGTTGAGAAACCCTGATAGAGAGGATTATTAATTTATACTTCAACTTGCAAAGTATGAATTTGCCTCTCTCCCTTGCTTTCCCATTGAACTTGAGGGTGATATTTGGTGGGTTGAGATAGCTTTTTTGTCATGCTGGAAAATCCATCTTTTCTTAACAAAAGAATTTTCATTAGTAGTTGGTGTTAAATTTTTAAATGCCTTTTTGGCATCTATTATATGACTGTATGATTTTTTTCTTCTTCTTAGAGCTATTAGAATGAATTATATGAATAGATTTTTTCATCTCAAACCACTCTTGCATTTCTAAGATAAATAGTACTTGGTCAAGGTGTTTTCATTTTTTTAATATTTAATGCTTTTATTTTTTTGGACAGGTTTATCATGTTCATTCTGATAGCTATGAGACACAAAACCAGCACTATGGAAGAAGCTTAACAAAAGAAACTATAAAAGATGGTAAGGATTAAAAACCATGTTTCAGTGCTTTTATTATTGAATAAAAAACCCAAACAAAACTCACTGCCGTCAAGTTGATTCCAACTCATAGAGACCCCCACTGAGTTTCTGAGGTGATAAATGTTTACAGAAGTAGATTGCCCCATCTTCCTTCTGTGGAGCAGCTGGTGGGTTTGAACCGCCAACCTTCTGGTTAGCAGTCAAATGCCTTAGGCACTGCATCACTATAGTTATCAAAGTAATTCTAAAGGTATTTTAGTGTTAATTCTCCTTTAAGATAGTGATTTAATTTATAGTAAAGAAATTTTTTTTTTTCCTTGTCTTAAATGGCCCTTAAGTTCACAGAGTATTCATCGTCCTTGATTCATGATATACCAAAACTATAGGTCTATGAATGGGCCTCTTTTACTTTTTATTTATTCCTTTTTTGTTATTATACTTTTAAAAACATAGTGAACATTTGTGAACCAACCATCTAGCCCAAGCACTAGATGTTGTCTTAAAATAGTTTTTCAAGTAAAGATTATAGATCATAGTATATTAAAACTGCATGTTACATAAGAAACTTGAAAATATTTGTAGTAGTGTGTAATGTATTTTATCGAAACTTTCCGTTTGTAATTGAGCTATATATATTATAGGTTTCTAGAGCTACATAATGAAATATCAAATGACATTAATTGTTAGAATATATGTTGCCAAAATATCACAAAAGTAAAGATGTCTTGTAAAAATAAATTTCCTAGAAAATAATATTCTATTAGGAGTTTAATCTTAGCTTTACCTTAGATTGGGAAGATCTTATACATAGTGTAAAGAGTTTGAAGAATTTTAATTTTATATATAGAAAAAAGGGAGCTCTGATGGCATAGTGCCTAAGGCATTTGATGGCTAACCAGAAGGGTGGTGGTTCAAACCCACAGCCACTCCTTGGAAGAAAGATTGGGCAACCTACTTCCGTAGTGATACTGCCTTGGAAACCCAAGGAGGGGTCATCACTATGAGTCAGAAATGACTCAAGGGCAATGAGTTTGGTGGTTTTTTTTTTTTTTTTTGGTATATAGAAATAAATATAACAGTTGTGACTTTAACAATCCTGTTTGCCTTGTTACAATTGTGTTGTTTAGCTACTTTCAAATTGGCCCCCAATTTATGATGAACCCTATGGATTACAGAGTAGAACTGCACCATAGGGTTTTTTTGACTGTAAGTTTTACAGAAGCAGTTCTTCTGCACAGGCACTGGGTAGGTTTTGAACCTTTAGGTTAGCAGCCAATTGCAAACTACTGGTGCCACCTTTGTATCTTCATACTTAACCAGTAGCAAGGTAATACTCAGTTTGGCTATGTATTAAAATATTTTCCCAGGCTAACAACTTGGTCTTAATCGAAATACATTTTTTTTAATTCTTTAAAAAAGTCTCTGTTTCAAAGTGGGGAGAAGGCTGTTTAAAACAGAAAATGAAATAATATATAACCCCAAATTTGCAGATATGATAAAATGGAATAAATAATTCTAAAAGAGGCTTAATAATCTGGGAAGTTGAAACACTTGAAAGTCTTGATTTGAATAACACCCTCAGCTTGGAATAGTACTGAATTCTAAAAGTGAAATTAATTTTTTTTTTTTAATTTAATTTATTTATTTTTTTATTAGGATTTGGGTGAAGATTTACAGAGTAAATTCACTTTTCATACAGCAGTTCACATATATTTTGTCTCATGTCATTGACCAAAATTTACAATGCAGCAGCTCCCCTCCCACTTCCTCCCCATAGTTACCTCCTCCCAGTGTCCATCCCTTCATACTCTTTGAGAGGCCCATTGTCTGCCAACCCTGTATATGATCTTGGATACACTCTCCATTTAGACATACGTAATTGTTTAGCTTGTTCACCCATCTATCCGTCCCTATACCCATGTTTGCTTTCATTGACAACTCAGTATTGTATTTGCAAAGGGGTTCATATTTGTTGTTTGTACTGCCCATGTAACTCTCTCTGTCTTTCTCATCCTCAATGCTGCCATATTGGTCACTCACATTTGGTACATTGCCCTTCTCTTCACCCAAATCAATATTTATCTCTATCTATCTAACAGCATTCCCTCCCCTTCCCTCCCACCCCTGGTAACCAACAAAGAAAATGTCCTCCAATATATAAACCTTTCCTTAACTTTCACAATAACGGACTAATACAATATTTGTCCTTTTGTGACTGACTTATTTCGCTCAGCATAATGTCCTCCAAGTTCATCCACGTTATGCGGTGTTTTGCAGATTCTACATTATTCTTTAGCGTTGCATAGTATTCCATTGTGTGAATGTACCAGAGTTTGGTTATCCATTCCTCAGTTGTTGGACATCTAGGTTGTTTCCAAGTTTTGGCTATTGTAAATAGTGCTGCGATGAACATCGGCGTGCATATATCTGTTCTTGTTATGGCTCTCACTTCTTTAGGGTATATACCTAGTAATGGGATGGCTGGGTCAAATGGTATTTGTATTTCCAACTTTTGAAGGAATCGCCATACTGCTTTCCACAATGGTTGTACCATTTTATAAAAGTGAAATTAATTTTTGAGAAAACATTGATTTGTCAAGATTATTGAGACCAAATTGAAATTAATAGAGTATGGTTTGACATTTTGATGATGGGCTTGTTGCCACCATTGGAAGTGGTTATAATTTCATTTTAGGTTTTAGATTAGTTCTTGTGGGTGTGTATGTGTATGTTTGTGTGGTGAGAATATTCATAACAAAACATACGCCATATCAATAATTTCTACATGTACAATTCAGTAATATGATTATATTCTTCAAGTTGCTCCATCATTCTTACTCTCCTTTTCCAAATCATTCTACCATGACATAAAACAATGCCCCGAAACAAAATTTTCCCCTTTCCCCCTCCTTCCTGCCCCTGATAACCACTAATAATTCTTTGGTTTCTATATATTTGCTGATTTTGTATAAGTGAGGTCATACAAATTTGTTCTTTGCCACTGACTTATTTCACTCAGCATGATGTTTTTAAGGTTCATCCATCTTATGGTGTGCATCAAGACTTCATTGTTTTTATGACTGAGTAGTATTCCATTGTATGTATATATTGTAGTTTGTCGACCCATTCAGTTTGTCGAAATGATGGACATTTCAGTTGTTTCCACCTTTTGACTATTGTGAAAAATGCCTCAGTGAGCATTGGTGTGTAGGTTTTTGTTTGTGTTCTTGCTTTCACTCCTGTGTATATAACAGGAATTGGGATTGCTGGTTTTGATAGATAATTCTGTGTTCAGTTTTTTGAGGAACTGCTCATTTTTTTCCCTAGTGGCTGTACCGTTCTACATTCCCACCAGCAATGGATGGGGGTAGATTAGTTCTTGAATGTGATTGTACCAAATAAATAATAGTATAAAATCCCTCACTATAGCAAATGAAACAAATCTTGAAATCACAGTCCTTAACAGAATATAGAAATATAGAAACAAACTTCAAGTCTATGTGTAATGAATTTCTTTTTTTGTCTAAATAGGAGTATTTCAGTTTATATCAGTGTTATCTGAATGTTTTTTAATAAAAGCATCTTCATGAAAAACTGAGATCCAAATTTCTGTTTATGACTAGAATTCTTTTCTGCTCATTAAACTATAAGCAATGATGGAAGAAAATTGGAAAATTGTATCTAAAATGTGTTTACTTCCCAAATTACAGCTATTTTATAATTTCATTATAACTAAAAATATTCCTTTTTATAGGCGTCTCCAGGTTTTTTCATAATGGGTTCTGCTTAAGAAAAGATGCTGTTGCTGCCAGTATTCAGAAGATTGAGAAAATTCTGCAGTGGTTTGAAAGCCAGAAGCAGCTCAACTTTTATGCAAGTTCATTACTGTTTGTTTATGAAGGTTCATCTCAGCCAACCACTACAAAATCAAATGACAGAACTTTGGCAGAAAAGTTTTTGTCCAAAGGACAACTGTCAGACACAGAAGTACTGGAGTACAATAATAACTTCCATGTGTTAAATTCTACAATGAATGGAAAAATAGAGCCTTCAGTAGGCAAAAGCTTGTCAAAGATGTATACTCGGCACAGAAAAATGTATTCAAAAAAGCATCACAGTCAGACTTCATTGAAAGTTGAAAATATGGAGCCAGACAATGGGTGGAGAAGCATGTCACAGGAACATCTAAATGGAAATGTACTTTCCAAACTGGAAAAAGTTTTTTACCATCTTCCCACCAGCTGCCAAGAGGTTGCAGAAGTAGAAGTGCGAATGATAGATTTTGCTCATGTGTTCCCTAGCAACACGAAAGATGAGGGATATGTGTATGGGCTAAAGCATTTAATTACTGTACTGCGGAGTATTTTAGACAATTGAATCCTTTGTTGCAATCTTTTTAAGGGGTGGGCCAATCATAATTGAAGCAGTGGTCAATATCCCTGCACTTGTAATACTATGTAAAATATTTGTATTGTGAGTCTACATTTTGTCTTTATACTTTTGGTAGAAAGGTTAACTTTTTTATAATCTTACTCAGGAAAACTAATTATTTGTTCATTAGAAAACTATGAAGAATAAAGAAATTTAGGAATGTTAAGCAGGGAGTGTAGTGGTACATGGCTTTTAAACATCTTTTTTGGCTCAAGCAAAATGCAAACCATTTCACTCATTAAGAATTTAGTTAGCTTTCTGTAGCCAATTTATCATGAAATTTCTGCCCACCCAACTTTGATAATGAGCCATATCTGAACTATTAAATTACTGAATACCCACAGAACTCTAGAAAGCACAGGTTGATGTCCTTAGTATCACTATGTGTGAAGTTATTAAAACTGGAGCAAATTCTACTTCAGAAATAAGTACTATTAAAAGTTCAGACCAGCATATCAAAAGGTGCTTCTTAGTGAAATTATTTAGAATTATTACATTACAAAAGCAATTTTCCCTTTAATTTCTGTTTATACATATATGTATTTCAAAAATAGCACATGTCATGAGAAAGATAATTGAAATAAACAACAACAGATTCTTGCCAGGGTTAGGAGAAGAGAGGTTATTTGCAAAGAACAAAATATTTTTCTTCTAAAAATTATTTATTGGAAAATTGGAGGACATATTTACTAAAGTTGTCAAAAGTATCATTAACTGTTATAATGCCTTTTACTCTAACTGCAGCTTCAAAAAGATGGATCATTGAAGCTTTTTCTAATTTCTCCTTTAAATAACTTTTGGGAGTTTTTTATTTCTTTTAAAATTAATATTTTTATGTTTCCATTTATTTAAGCAGTAGTATAAACATATGTTGCCAAAAATAATATTTCTCAGAATTCTAATAAGCAATGAAGGGCAACATCCAAATAATGTGTTCTCAAAAGTACTATCTTTTAGGTGTTAATTAGTACATTTCATAGAGTTTGATGCATACCTAACCATGCTTCCCATCCATTCTTATTCAAAATAGTTTGCACCACAGTCAACAGAGAAATTTATTATAATTTACTAATTTTATGGGGGGCAGGGCTACTTTTCCTGGAAATTTTAGATTTTTAAGTATTATCTGTGTTTCATACCCACCACCTTTTAAAAAAGTTATTTATCATTAAAAACATTTTCAATTCTGAAATTAAATTTGCAGGTATGCTTAATATTTGTTCTTACTACTTGCTTTTTGATTTACTAACAACACTTCCAAATAGTTAAAAAATTTTGCCATATTCCTGGAAAATGTTTCAGAATTAATTTATAAATTAGACTTTTAAACCCAAATGCTTGTTGTGTGGTGTGGCAGAAAGTGCCCCCATTTTGTGTTTCTTTCATCCTCCCACTGTTCTCCAAGGGTGCTTTGCAAATACCTGAGTCCAACAGCAGTACCAAATATTCTATAACTTCTGTATTTGGTAAACATCAAATCTGGGTAATTTAGAAATTCATATGTAATTTGTTATAGCAAAATTTGATAGTATTTTCCATAAAGAATTCAGCATTTTTCTCTACTACCTAATTGGGCTCTGGCTGTAGCTTTTTTATGGAGATGAGTTTCAAAACAATACAGTCAGAAAATTATTATTTTTACTTTTTTTCCTCCTACAGTTGCTGTTTTGGCATTTGGGAACTTGTCCAATAAATCTTAAACTCAGATAATTAAACACCATTTTGAATTTTAGTTAAGGCAGGAGGCTGCTTTTGTGTGTGAGATGGCATCAGCCTGTGTAAAGTGAATTTAATATGCTTAAGTATTATCAGATTTTTTGCACATTTTAGCCCAATAAAGTCTGAATCAACTATTGCAGATTTCCTTTATATACGTTTAGAAATACAAGTTTGTAAAAATCCATGTCTTAGTTTTTTGATACAAGAAATCATTTTTTTTGATCTGATTGTTTTAATACAACAAGAAATGCTTTTCTTTTTTTGTTTTTCAGGGAGGGGATTAACATTTAATTCTGTTTGTTTACATTTTACATCACTGCTCTCCAAGGCCCATTTTTTTGTTACTTTATAAGTAAGCTCATATGTAACAGAATAAATATTTATGTGATTGATATGTGACTATTTTACTATCTATTTTAGTCTTTAAGATTATGCTAAAACTTACCACTATGAGGATAAATAATCACTATTCACCAACCATATTTGAACATGTAATTGTTTAAGAAATAAGCATAATAATAATAGTTAATCCTGGGTTAGTAAGATTATTGTATTCCCCCCCCCAACTTTAGGAAACACAATTATTTTAGTGTATTTCTTATGGAATGCACTCATAAAAAGGATTTCGAGAAATTGTGGATAGTGAGTAATACATTTCTCGAATAAAAATTTAAATTGTATAATAGTTTTATAATTAAAAGTATTTACATTAATTGATATTTTAATATGGATGGAAATTGATGGATAGATTCAAGTGAATTAAAAAATCAGTGATAAAATGATAAAATGGTAAATATTTTATCCAAGTAGTTTTTTAAGAAACAGTTATGAAATGTGTGTATTCAATGACTCTAACATGGAGCTTTGTGGTATTTTCAACTCAGTATTCATTCTTTTTTGTGTATCTGGAAAGATTGTACTTATATTATGCCTCTTTACACTACAGTTTGCTATTGTAAGGCTTTCGACTGTGTTCACCTGAGTAAGAACTTGTTTCTGAAGTTTGATTGATTCTATATTTTATGATTTCCACATGATGTTCTTCATGTCATCTCTATGAAGTATGTTTAGTAAATTTATAACATAATTTAAGAAACAGGAATTAATTTCTAGAGATATTTCAGTTACCATTTTATTACTTTATGCAACTAAAAACATTGTTTCTAGCATTTGGAATATTCTAGAAAATTTAGGATGAAGGGAACTGGTAAAACAATGAAAGAATTTTATCTGCAGTTACAGAAGTTGTGTCCATTGTTTGAAAGTGTTGTCATCATTTTAGTACCATTCTTTCTTCTTAGTTTGGCATTTGTTATCTTAAAACTTGATTTGCTTAAAAATTTATAATATTTTGTAATAATCTTTCTTATCCAGTGCCTTCAACATTGATTTGATGTATTTGTAGCCTCACTTATCCTTCTTATTACATCCTATATTATTGGTTTCATAATCTAGAAGACATCAGTTTCTTATTTTAAAAAATTGTCAGTTTGGTCATTTAAAGAGGTATCAGTTGTATAGTAATGCTACAGGAAAACAACTAGGTTTGCCTTTGGAGTCCAGATTTTTTAGTTTACTCAAAAATATTTTTTGGATGTCTACCATGTGCAAAAGCATTTTAGGCCCTGGGTAGAAAGTTATCAACCAGACAGGCAAGTCCCTAACCATTTCCAGTATTTTCTCTGGATGGAGTGAAGGCTTAAAATAGAGATATAGAAAGATAAGCACTTAAAAATAACACAGATAACTCAAATTTGAGTTTGTAGGAAGATAAGGTAATAAATACTGAGTTGAAATGAAGCAGTTAACACAGTGTGTTAGAGAGGTTAAGAAGAATATTTTACAGCATTGTAACCTCTGTTTGACTTTTGGTTTTGAGTAATAAATTACAGATAGCATACAAAGGCCTTAATTTTTCACTTTTTTTTTTTTGCCAGTAAAGGTACATTTACTTAAACTATCCATTTATAGTAGTGTTTAATAAAACATTACTGTGACAAACATTCCATCACATATTCACAAACAAATGACTACACATATTTTATTTGTATTTTACAATTTATACCAATATTTTAGGCCTCGATCTTCAAATCACTGGTATTTAAAATTTGGCAATAAGTACGAAATTACTTTCTTTGACTTATGGAGTGATTTTATTGTTAATATCTTAGGAAGGTTGGAGTCTCCATATTTTTGGAGTTAATGTTTAATTTCTTACTACTTTATTTCGATAAGGTCTAATAAGAGGAATAGTAATCATGGGATTAAACAAATTGGTATATACTTCAAAACTTTTAAAAAAACATTTTGTTATCATTGGGGTTAAATTTTGGCCTATATATGCTATATATTAACAATTTATGAAGTAAAATAGTCTTAAATATGATGTATGATGCACCTGCATAAAAATGAAAATGGTGTGCACAAAGACACTTTACTACAGGAATTGTACTGGAAGATTTATGAAAGCATGTGAAATTGCACCTAAAGTTGTGTTATTAGTAACTATATGCAGCAATGCTAAATTTCTTGTACTTGATGAATGAATGTACTTGGTCTAGTCTCAGTTGCTTTGGTTTAAATGTCTAATAATGTCTCCAGCTTTTTTTTTTTTTTAAATGTGTTTGTAATTTGTACTATTGGGGGGTTATTGACTGCAGGGGTTATTGTCAATATGTGATTTGTGTTTTTATTTTATAGAATCATCTAATGTAATATACCAATTTTTATAACTTAAGTGATATTTAGGTATTCTAATAACTGTATATTTGACAACTTATTAAAATGTTTTTGCATTGGAGCTTTTATCATTTATCATAACTTGCCGCCTCACTGTAGTCTGAAAATGTTATTGATTCAACAACTATTTCATGTGGCAGAAACTATAGGAATCATAAAGGATACAAAGATGAGCTGTTAATAGAAGCATATACGTTGGAAATGATAAAGTATATAAACTCTTGTGGAAATATTTATTTTTCTCTATCACTGTCAACCTACTAGGAAGGGTGGTCTAAAGGACAAAGAAATAAGTTTAGTTTCCTGTGAAAATATATACTTTAAACACTTTAGAAATAGGGAAGGTATTTTTGTGTGTTCTTTTAAATTCCACAAATCAGTTAATCAGTGACCAAGTTATTCTCCTTCATTAACTGAAACAAAGCGGGGCTGGGGGGGTTGGCTATAGAACATTTGTTCTTTTTCAAGTACTATACTTGGCTTTGGAGATTTAAAAGAATTGAGAAATATATTTGTTATCTGTCTTCTAGATGTATACTTCTGGCAGGGAAAAAAACAAACATGTAAATGTGGGATACAGTGTTACTGGGGCTGATTGGCATTTATCCATGTCCAGCAGTGTTGTGAGAGAGGAAAGTCCTCATAGCATGTAAGAGGAAGAAGAGGGTGGTGCTTCATAGCATTATAGCAATTGTGAGTCAATG